TATTTAATAGCTTTAATATTTAATGTAATTTCTTTACCTTTATTATATTTTCATTTTACAATTATTGCTGCTTTACTCATATTAACTTCCTCCTTACTTAATTTCATTGCTTGTTTTTTTGATCTCTTACTTTTTGTTTGGGTATTTGATCTTATTTCTATCATTCCTGGTATTGGAAGTCAAAATACTGGTCCTGGAATTTATTTGGCTACTATGAGCGTTTCCTTCTTATCTGTTGCTACTATTTTATTATGTATTGGTTCATGTAGTACTGTTAGGAGCACAAGCAATGATGATGAAAATGAAGGACAATCAATTTTTGACTAAGTTATTGAGTCAAGCTCAATATAAAAAAAATATACACGCTGAAATTAGTGATTAATTCTTTTATTAATCTTTTATTTGCATCAGAAAACATTGAAATATATTTTAAAAGTTTTCGAATTTTAGTTTAATGGTCAAACAAAAAGAATCAAAATCAAAAAATAAAGTAATCAAAATATAATATCAAGTAAAGATTCTTATTATATCATAAAATTTATAACCGGTTCCAAACTCTATGTTAGGCAATATTAAAATAGAATTTCAAGCAACATAAAAGTAATTTTAGGTAAAATTAAAATATAATTTCAAGCAAAATTCCAGGAAAAATTAGGCATAACTCTAGGCAAAATCAAATATAATTTCAAGCAAAACTAATTATAATTCCAGGAAAAACTTCAGGCAAGTATAATTCCGGAAAAATTATGCATAACTCCAGGCAAAATAAAAATATAATTCCAAGCAAGAGTAGGTTTATGGTGAACGCTTCTCCATTTTCAATACAAGGATTATAATGTTACTCTAAATTCTTCCAAAATTTCTCTCTCATCCCTTTACATTTATCCACCATGGAGGAAGCTCTATCCTTAAGCTTAGAACTTTGTTTTTACAAATCTGGTTAAAAATATTTATAATTGTATTCTTCTTCATCGGCAAGTTTTGTTGCAAACTCAAAAGCTTTTTATTCATCTTTATTTATATACCATCCCATGAAGATAGTGTATTCAGCAGTGAAAAATTCAGCTTTAGATTTGATAGTGCGATCTTCACAATTAACGTTAAGTAGTTCTTGGAGTAATTTCCACAATTCTTGATAATTTTCTTCTCGATTTAACTTCAAAAATTTTTCAAGTTTAATAATTTCTTTCTTACATTTATCATCCTTAAATTTTTTATTTAGACTACTTATTTGTTCAGTATTTTTTTTTTTTAATCTCAGACATAAGTAAAGTTTTTAGGCTCAAAAAAGATTGTATTTATATATTTATATCAAAAAATGAATAAATGTGGCAATTACAAATAAACCAAAACGCTTGTATCTACCAATTAAATTTTATAGTAAACCAGACTATACTACTTATGTAACTGGGCCCATTTCTGCATTAACAGCACACTTTTGTTATCAAGATTAATTGTTTGAATTGGATTATTTTTAATAAAAATTTTTGCAGTAAACTTCACATCTCTAATTCTAAGAGAATTTAATAATTTAATTTTTAATATTTTCAATTAATGCATAATTATATTGTGCTACAAGAAAATAATTATATAATTTGTATATAAGTTATATTTATGCAAAATTATAATGGCAATTAAATTATAATACAGTAATAAGTAGTAAATTATTGAATTGAAAATTAAATATCTCGATAACTTTATTCATTGCCAGTTAATTCCAGAATTCATAAATAAATTAATTTGAAAGAATGGTCTTAATTTTATCGATAGGATAGGAGTAGAGATTAAGCCCAGATAAGGCTTACCCGGGTAACCCGTATAAGCATTCTTAACCGGGTCATGGTTATGATACCCGGATAACCCAGATAGAAAATAACCATATATCATGTGACAACAATACAGCAATATCATTGGACGAATATCACAAAAAATTGTGATCAAGCTGGATATCTGGTTTTTATCCATACAGGAAGGAATAATGGGCTGAGTAATATTAGCTGTGCATCTCAGTTACACTTATTAATGCTTTTCGATTCGGTGATCGACATAACCTGGCACAGATTTCAGAAGTGCAATTTTATTTAATGTGATGTTGAGATACAGTAATCAAGTAATCAAATTATTTTAAGCTATTTAAGAACATATCACTAATTCAATTTTTGCTTTTTATATTTATTTATATTCTAATTCTAATTAACCAGAATTAAGCATCATTAAAATAAAAAAGTTGTTTAATAATTTATATTATTTCCTTCGTATCGTTGGTTTTTCAACAATTTTTTAACGATTGCAGCGAAAAAAAAAGAAAGCTAGCATTAATATTATGCTGTAATTTGCATTATTTTTTAATATATACTTAAATACAACAATTTTATACTCAACTAAAATCAATTGTGATTCCGATAGTTTTTATGTATCTAAATACGTATTGGATTCATCTTACTTCATCGACAGCTAATTAACCAAATCAAAGGTTTATATTCATCCATTCCTGGTTTCACACAACTGCACAGCACAACTACTTATTTTTATGTAAACATAACCGGGTCAACGGGTAGTTACCCGGGTAAGGGTTTTATAAACAGACGGGTAACCCAGAAATAAATTTTATACCGGGCATAATCTCTAAATAGGAGTTTCCAGGGACGAAGAAATCACTGACGCAGTGACCAATCAGCATTGCGCAATTTAAACCAGATTGGTCACATGAATTTGTTCTGTGCCACGTTTCGCATTTAATTCTCTATCTATCATTGTTTTTTAAGTTAAAATACGCTTGGACATTCTTGGACTTGGACATTGGACGTGCAAAAAAGGCCTTGGACATCAAAAACTGCTTATACAAAAGTTTAGTGTGATAATTTTTACTTTCACGCTTTAACCACTGAGTTTTCATACAATATTTCTATATATAACATAGTTATCAGTATTTAAGCTATAATTCTGCTTGCTCAAAAATATATTTTGTATTTAGTTTTTAAAAAATGATTAAAGTCACGCTTATCTTATGAAGACAATACAAAAAAATATTTTTAGAGCAAGCAGAATTATGCACCGCAGAATTCTGGACCCTAATTTAAGCGCTACATAAAAACTGAAATCTTCAAAATACTCTAATCTATAGGTTCAAGTATATTCATGTAATTTTAAAATCATGATATTCCTTTTGAAATAGCAAAAATTAATACACATTATGATAAATAATATTCTGTTTTTAAGATACATGTGTCTAAATAAAATAAGTGAAATAGTTCTAATTGTTTAATTACGAGTAGGTTTGATTTAATTAATAACCAGAATTGTTTCGAAAAAAAATTCGATTAAAAATTTTAATTATCTTTAATCCAATTCACCAATTCATTGTAAATTAAATTAATTTTTTTGCCAGAATTTACTTTGATCAACAAAATAAATATAATAGTTGTTTTTGAAGAGAAAATAGTTTGTTCGCCACTTTTATTTGATCTTTTATAATGGTAAAAAAAAAAAAAGGTATTTACAAAATATTCTGAAGCTAATGTTCATCCTCTTAAAAAATAATGTTAATTTCGTTCTTATCAATTTGTCCATGAACAACAAATAAAGTAACTAATAAGGAAGTCAAGCATGTAACTACAAATCTCAGTTTTTTTTTATTTTTTTTATTTTTTACAATTTATCACCAGTTTCAAAATTATGATTTGTAAGAAAGTTTGAAACTCCACATATATGAGCGACATATCGCTACGGCGATAAATTATTAAACTTGGTTTTTTTTTTTATTTTTTTTTTTATTTTACCATTTTTAGGAAATTAAAAAGACGGTATCTAATTTTTGGTTTACAAAATCTCTCAGTTTTTACATTTTTATTTTATTTATTTATTTATTATTTTTTATTTTTTTGACCATTTTTTAGGAAAAGAATGTCAAGCTTACAAACAGTGTATTAAACCATCCTGTACCTAACCGGGTAATTAAAAATATCTTAAACACATCAGATGAAGAGTTTACATATATAAGATATACACCCATCAAATGCAATCCAGACGAATTTATAAAGAAATATTCAATTCGACAAAAAATTAATGAGCGAAATACTGAAATAATGATTGTTATTACAGTGTATAATGAAAATGATACTCACTTTATTAAAACAATGTCTTCAGTCATCAAAAATGTGGCCTATATTTGTTCAAAAAAAAGGTCGAGAACATGGGGAAATGAGGGTTGGCAAAAAATTGTTGTGTTAATAGTTGCAGATGGTCTTAATAAAATCAATGAACGTACTCTAAATGTCCTGAGTCTTATGGGTTGTTATCAAGATGGAATTATACAAAAAAGTGTCAGAGGTAAACCTGTTACTGCACATCTTTTCGAATATACTACACAATTAATGGTCGATAATGATTTTAATGTCAAAGGGAAAGACTATAGTATCCCACCAGTGCAAGTTATCTTTTGTTTAAAACAAAAAAATGCAAAAAAATTAAATTCTCATCGTTGGTCTTTCAAAGCCTTTGCGAATCTTTTGAACCCAAAAATTTGTATTTTACTTGATGTGGGCACAAAACCCTCGCAAACCTCAGTTTACCGCTTGTGGAAAGGTATGAATATTTAATTTTGTCAGCATTAAATTGCTTTCGCGTTGATATTTTTATCGATATATATATTTTTTTCAGCTTTTGATCGTGATCAACATATTGGTGGTGCTTGTGGAGAAATTAAAGTAGATCTTGGTTATAAATGTAGAAACCTTCTTAATCCTTTAATCGCTTCTCAAAATTTTGAATATAAAATATCTAATATCTTAGACAAGCCGTCAGAATCTGTTTTTGGTTATATCTCAGTATTACTAGGTGCTTTCTCCACATACCGATATGAAGCATTATTGAATGGGCCTTTGGAAAAATACCTTAAAGGTGAGTATGATGATTCAGGTGCTACTAAAACTGGTATATTCGAAGCAAACATGTACCTGGCAGAAGATCGTATTTTAAGTTTTGAGCTTGTCATTAAGAAAGATGAATCTTGGAAATTAAAATACATAAAGGTAACAATCTAAAATGCTAGCATTGCATCTCATTACACAAAGGCGTGAATATGTATATTTTCATATGCGCAAATTACTATTAAATTTATTATAACTGTATTTATTTTATTAACTAATATACATTGATTTCTAGTGTAAAAAATCATTAAAATTGTTTTTAGACATTTATATTTTAGATTTCTTAACAATATAGTATTTTCTTATTGAATGAGGAAAAAAAACTTTCAAAACTATATAAAAAACATAACAATTTGCACTATTGTCATTATTCTTATGTGGGATTGCTAATAATTATTTTATTTACATTTCAAATTTTTTATTATTTAGTCAGCTAAAGCAGAAACTGATGTCCCAGACAATGTGCCTGAATTTATTTCCCAACGTCGTCGCTGGTTGAATGGATCTTTCTTTACTACTTTCTATTCGATTGCCAAATTTACTCATGTTTGGAGATCTGGACAGCCATTTTATCGCAAAATATTATTACAAATTCAATTAGTTTATAATGGTATACAATTAATCTTTAACTGGTTCTCTTTGGTAAATATGATAAATCTTTAATATTTGTAAACAAAGTTCAAGATTGATATATTTATTTTATTCATTTTATTTTTGTTTTTATTTATTATTCATAAATTAGGCAAATTTTTATTTAGCTTTTGTTTTCTTAATTCAATCCACCACTTCAAATCCTATAACCGATCCTTTCAAAGGTCATGGAGATAATTTATTTGAAGCTGCTCGCTCGTTGTATTTAATAATTATTGTTATAATTTTTATTTGTTCAATGGGTAATCGCCCTCAAGGAACAAAATTGATATACACACTCTGTATAGTCCTCTTCGCAATTATCATGGCATTTATGCTTTACTGCTCAATTTATATTATGTATCTCACTGTATATAAAGCAGTACCACCAATAGATTTTAAGAACCTTTCGAATATTCAAGAAACTTTAAAGAATGCAGCATTCCGTGACATCGTTATTTCTGTTGCTTTAACATTTTTGCTATATCTTTTTTCATCCTTTATTTATTTTGAACCGTGGCACATGTTCAGCTGTTTAGTTCAATACCTTTTACTTGTTCCTTCCTACGTCAATATTCTTATGATTTATGCTTTTTGTAATACTCATGATGTTTCATGGGGTACAAAAGGAGATAATATTAATACTGGAGTACTGCCAACTGAAGTTGATCAAGAAACCATTACAATTGAAATTTATGAAGATGAAGATGCCGCATACGACAATATTATCACTCAACTAAAAAATAAAGAGCATGATGATAAACAACACCGAAATGCCGTTATTAAGAAAGATGATTATTATAAATTGTTTAGAACAAATTTTGTTCTTTCATGGATATTTACAAATGGTTTAATAATTTTTTTATTTACATCAAATGCTTTTGCAAAATATTTTTCAACTCTCGATTATAATCCTTATTTGGTTTTTGGTATGTTATTTATTGAATTATCTTAAATGATTTATAATATTTATTAATTTTAATTTTTTGTAATTTAGTATTTTGGTCAGTTATGATTCTATCTGCTTTCAAGGTGTTTGGTAGTGTAATATATCTAGTTCTTTGCTTATTGTCCAAATTAAAGGGCTATTACAATAAGTTTCTTATTCATCACACGAGACAAATATAATACAAGGAAACTGGTTATTGTTAACATAAAGTCAAATAAAATTTAATAAAATTTAGTTTTATTTTGTTCGATTCGCATTTAATAAACAATTTACTAGGAATTTTATGCATATTCTTTTCTACCTAAATTTACATAGCTAATTAATCAGAGTGTGGTATTCTAAGTAAAATGCTCTATGCCCAAAAAACCTAACCAACCAAATGTAAAAAAAAAATAAAGGTATTACATGTTGGTTAAATCACAAAATAGTGCAAATCTATAGAAAAATTTAAATTATAACTTTTAAATTATTAAACTTATACATATAAAATTATATTTACTGGATTCCTCTCAGAGTTCTCTTTAAAGTAATAACGTAATTTTTTATATTTTCTTGAAGCTAATTAAGTTTTCTTAAAGTTGATTAGGCTTCAACAAATATATTTTGCTTTAAAAATTTTTAAAAAAATAGCTCTATTACTTTAAAAAGTATGCTAAGAGGAGTTCAATAAATATAATTTTAACTGCATAGGTACGATAGTTTGGAAGTTATAAGCGTTTAAATTTTTTATAAAAAAAAATTTCTAGCAAAGATCATTTTTACTAGGTTTATTATTCGAATAATATTAGTCATTCGGTGAATATTCGAATAGATATTTGCTAATTCAAATTATTCGAATATTATTCGAATAAGTTGAATCCGTAAGCTCTATATTCGAATATTCACCGAATGACTAATATTATCGAATAATAAATATTGTGGCGCAAGATCTAATAAAGGACTTGGGAGATTAGAACTAACCCAACATTTGGGTATCGCGTCATTTTTATTTATTTGTTTGGGCTTTTAGTGTAAAATAGATGGGCGAGAGCCCAGAACAAGGGACTGATAATAGACTAAGACACTATAAATGTAAAAAGAGATGGGCTTTGGTTTGATGATTGTTGCTTGTCGAGGTGATTAAGAGCATTGTAACTCTTTGAAAAAATTTCGAAAAATTAATACTTCAAGATTCAAAAATCTATCACTTTTGTAAATTCCTATTGAGTGATAATCATTGCAATTGATTGGAATGAATCAAACGCATTTTTGAATACATCGAAATTTAGAAACAAAGTTTTCTATATCATTGTAATTAAAAAGATTTAACAATTTCATTAATATTCGTAATCCAATTAAAATAAAATAATATTTTTAATATTGAATAAAGTAAATAATTTACCAAAATTAATCATCCTTCAATAAAAGGATCCTTTTAAAAAATAATAATTTATTAATGTCAATAGAAACCAAGCAAATATTTTTTAATATTTTTTAAAAATTTTAAATTAACAATTACCAAATCAAATTCAATAAAAAATTTTTGTTTTAATTAATAAACCAAAAAAAAAAAAAAATAATTTCATTAAATTTGGTTTAGTAGTTGTTAAGATGTTTTAACATAAAATTGAAAAAACTTTTACTTGGAAAAAATTTGTCCCTTTTCTATTAACTTCCCCAAATTATGTTATGTCTGCTGTTAAATTTTTTTTCGATTATCCTTTTTTATTTTCACAACTTAGTGAATACTTTAAAGATAATAAGAATTTATTTAATTTGACACTGGTGTTGAGGGAATTTGCAAGATATTTTGTAACCTTATTATGGCATGATCCATTTAAGTTCATTGAAAATGAAGACAAAATTTCTAGAGCAATGAAAATTATCGATATTTTAGAAATATGTGTCAACAATAAAGGAACAACTTTTAAATATTTATCCTTTATTAAAGTTTTAAATTTATCATTCTTAAAGTATATATTAAAAATCAAGGGATATAATGAAATTATTAATTTTATTGAACGTATGTTAGAACATTTTGGAACATTAAAGTGTCTTCATTATGAAGATAGGAAAGGTTTTGACCCTTTAATTCCATCATTAAAAAAATGTATAAAAATTGACACACTTTTGTATTTTTCATATTCCGATTCGATGCCTTTCTATGATAAAACGTATTTACTCGATAAAGATAATTATGTGGAACATCTATTTTTAGACAAATCAACCATGAAGTTTAATTCAGAATTCAGATTCGATATTGTTAAACTATTATCTTTAGATAATTGTGATCTAAAGGATATTGACATAGAACATTTCATCAAACTTAAAGAATTAAATATTACTGAATGCAGTAATCTTGATTTATCAGAAATTATTGCGTTACCAATCGAATGCACTATCTTTTCTGATTGTAATTTATTGTTAAGAGATGTTTATCCAATTTTGCATAAAATTTACTATTTAAGAAAAATAATTATAATAAGTAATTTATATTGTAGTGATGATGTTGAATTTATCGATGAAATCGAATATTTTTATTCGTTAGATGAAGTTAGTAAAATTATGAAACCTCATATTGGTAGTGTTAGAAAACCTTTCTATTTGAAAACATTAATAGTGAATAATCTACCAATGATCGGAATTTGGATCTAATTATTAATAAACATGTCGAATTTAGACTTTGGGCAAGAATTACTATATTCAACTTGTTGCTGAATTTGCTAATGAAACTGTATCTGCTTCTTGAATTTCAGATCCATAGAATTTTATTTCTTTCTTCTTCGGCATATTTTTCAAAAAAATTTTTTAAAATGTGCTTTAGTGCGAGTTTGTAAAACTTCTACATGGGTTCTATGAACTAACATACTTTAAAACTAGGTTCTTAAGAAAAAAAAAAAGATTTTGATTACTTACCTAGTTAAAATTAGAGTAAGGAGTGTTAGAGTTCGAGCAAATTTTATACCGCATTTTTCACTTTTTTTCTTTGTGTTAGATTGATTGCGTTAGTCTTGTGAATCTGGCTTTAGACGATCTCCTAAAAAGGTAATTATTCTATGAATAGATTTTATTCAATCGCTACGTATTGATTCTAATGTTCTATTTGATACCAATAGAAATTTTTATTGATAGAATTTTTAATTAAATGTGAAAATTCAAAATTTTAGACGATAGTATATATTTCTTGCAGCACATAGCACCCTGGGCCACTTCCTAGCTTTTAACGTTATGAAGTTACTGAACACATTAGGTAAGTTAATATAGACAGCCAATGATCCTATTTATAAATTCGTTTTAACATCTGACCTACTTTAAGGGTCAATCTTGACGATGCGAATACCTTCAGTGCTAATAGAAAATTTAATTGTTATCTTAATAAATCCTGAAAATAAAATATTCATACTAAATTTAGACTTTTTATCATAAACAATCAAAAACAGAAACTTTACGAATAGCAATTAAGTCAATCAATATCTTCGATAAATAACTTTCTTATTTAATAAATAACTATAGTCAACTTTATTAGGCAAGGACTCTTTTACTTTTGAATTTGCATCTTTTTTATTTTGGTTAGTGTTAGAAATTCTTATAAAATAAAGTTGAACTCTTGTACAGTAAGTTATGTATTATAATTTGACCTCAATTCACTTTCAAATATGTCGTCCATCACCTGTAAGTAAATTGCGAAGAGAAAAAATTTTATTTGTTTCAGCTTTCTGTTACCTACTAAAGAATCATATTTATTTATTATTTCAAAAATAAAAATTGTATAGCCACAAATCTCAGTGTTAAATTTCCTTTGGTTTTAAAAAAAACTAAACCTCAGAAAAAAATTCAAAAATTTCAATGTGAACGCAATCGACGGAAAGAAGAAAATGAAACAATTAAGGAAATTGCAAATAATTTGCCTGCCATAATGAATAGTAAAAGCAGAATACCGAAAATAGATATTTTGAGGATTGCACTTAAATATATTAAAAATTCTAATCAAAAAATGCAAAGAGTTCAAAACGAAAATGAAATGCTACATAATGAGAGAAACTTTTATTTATTTTATAACAATTATGGATATAATTTTTTATAATAATAATTAGTTTTTGTTAACTTTCATCTTACTATTAAATTAAGTTTACGAATTAAACTTCATGTAGCAATGATAAGATTTATTTTTTGTTAAAATGTAAAGACCCGGAGTACTTAGGAAAATGGAATAAAAAAACTTCAATTTATGAATTTTATAGATTTCATAATTAATTTAAAATCAATCGTGTAATAACGGGCATAATAACGCGCACCCACATTGGGGTTTCAAAAAATTTATAACAGAACAGAATTGGGAAATTTTATCTTTGAAGCCATGTGCATATACTAAATAACGCACGCATATAACTCAAAATATACTTTTAATTATTTCAATATCAACTCCTTACTGAAAATTTTATAATTTTAAGAAAAAAATTCCCTAGAATTATATTTAACAGAGACTAAAATTACGACTAATAAAAAAAAAAAACAATAAACGAAAGAAAAACTAATCAAGCTTAAAATTTTAATAATTTTGTTAAAATATTAAGTTAAAGTAATTTCATCCAGTCTATTCAACTTTTAAAATAATAATTGATTTAAACCTTAAATATGCTATCATATGGTGGTGGTTCATTCAAATCTTCGATAAAGTTTGGATCGATACAATATTTGCTAAAGCTTTGATAAACCTATACAAAACAACCATACAAGAACGCAAAAATTTTTTCCAACAACGCACATCCAAGATTGATATAGCATAAATAAATTATAGAAAAAGCCCACACCAATGAAACTGTGAATATAATTCTTACATATATGTTATGTGGAATAAAATAAAATAAAATTAATGAAATTCCGGATAAAAATAAAACCCCCAAAAATACAATTATAGAATTTTTTTTTCTTTTCTCGGTTTCAAAATCATTTTCTGTATAAATAGTATACGTGCAAAAAGGAATAATCAAATTCAAAAATCCTGATAAAATATAAATGATCATTCCTACAAAAAATAATCCAGTATAACTCCAAGAAATTCCAACTACAACCCATCCAAAAATATAACACTCAAATACATAAAAAAATGGATATATGCATGCTTTCTCTTTGTAAAAAAATAAAATCACGAAAAAAACAACCAAATTCCATAAAAATATATTTGCATAAAACCACATACCAAGTTTAAGAACATCTATTACCGGATGTTCCCAAAAACGAATGGGACTTTTTCCAGTCTCAACATTATAATAACATTTAATATTTGTTTTTCCAAAAATCATATTCGTTCGATCAGAATTTTCTCCATTAATATCCGTGCCAAAATCCGCAACAGCAATCGCATTCACAACTGATCCATTAGTTATTGTATATGTAACATTCAAATACTGTTTTACAGCCTGAGATGCATACAAAGAACAGAATGCAGTCATAATACTTGTTCTATGTCCACAAGAATAATAACCGCCATTACACAAATTATTTGGGTCCCAAAGATTTGGTGGGCATCTATCGGTTATATTGTTATGGCACGCATCAACATCATAATATCCTTCAAATTTATTTCTCAAGTTGTCACAGGTCATTAAGCCAATTCCAGAATGCCAGCAATTTTGACATTGTGGTTCATAATTATAATAATAACTAATAGATACATTATTCACTAAACATATTGTTTCAACATATTTCTTAAGTTGTTCGAATGATTGCTCGCCCTGATCACGAAGAAAATAAACCAATTCAACTTGAGAAAAAATTGAAAAGGCAAGTATAAAGACAAGATAGAAAATAATTTTGACGTCCATATCGTACATATTTAAAAAAGATAGTAAACATCAATGCCTAAATTTTAGGACATTATTATAGAGAAATGTTAATATTTATATATTGATAATAAAAATGTTGTTAGTTTCTCCACAATTCGTATATTAAGTTAGGAAAGTAGTGCAAATATGTAAGATCATTTTTGTTTACTGCTCGTGTTTGCACAAAAATCTTAGCAAATTCGTCAAAATTGGAATCAAAATCAAAGCTAAAGTTATTATTAGTTAATTGAAATTGTTTTTTAAACAATTTCATTTAATATTGTAATTATGGTTATCTATATAAATGCTACAATTTAGTTAATTTTTAATAGTTGTAGGGGGTAAAGATTATTGTACGTATTCAAACAAAAAGTTTCATGCATCATCTTTAATTCAGAGCTTTAAATTATACTTTATTTTACAGAATCTGTATTTAAATTCTGCCTAGAATAACCCTAATTTTGCTAAAATTAATACTTTAATTTTGTATTCAAACTCTGCCCAAATTATGCTCCAGGATAAGTTTCAATTATAAAGCATATTTGAAGATTCAATAAATTCACTAAAATTACAAAGATTCTTTCACTTACAAAGTGGGCTGGGTGCTGAAATTGACAAATATAGAAAAAATCAATTTTTTATGTGTAAATCCAAACTTTAAGAAGCTATATTCTATTGAAAAAATTGTTATCTGCTTGGTTCAAACAGGTCATTTAACAATTCTGGAAATTCATGTATATGACCAAGATCTAACTGCTCTTTTGCATTTGTTCTAACAAAAATTTCAATAACTCTGTCTAAATCATTATCAAGTTTAAAACCTAGCTCTTTCTCTGTTAACATGTCAGGACCTAAATCTAGGTTTCTAGCTTGCAAAACTTTGATCTCCTCGTGTTCATTTGTACTCAGGTTAGCGAGATCTTCAAAATGATACATGTCTGACCATTCTTTGTCAGCTACAAATTTTTTGCTAAACTTAAATCAATAAAAAACCAAAGTAATTTACAAATAGGCTTTCAAATAGAAAAAGTTTACTTACTAGCTTGCAACAAATTTATTGCGTACATCTCCTAACGTTAAACTAATTCCATTCACTTTGATAGCTTTGTTAACAAATTCATCGTTATCAAGCACTTCTACAACACATCTTCCAATATCAGCAAAAGACGTAAGGGACACTTTTTTATCCTTTTCTGCATAAAAATTAGCATCTCTGGTAGTTGTGTCAAATCTGAGCCAAGCAACATACTCATAAGCTAATCTAGTGTAAAGATAAAAATAGTCAAGTTTAGCTTTGCTTAATTCCTCCGCTTCTTTTATTATTTCTAATTTTCCATTATTCATGATAACTGTTTTCTTTACAACTTTTCTATTTTTTAATGCTTCTTGAAAGTTTTTCTTATCTTCGAAGGTATACCAAAGTGCCTCAGCAATTATTTTTTTAGACCTTTTAGAAAATATAGTTAGTTCTGTTAATTAAATTCTTAGTTACTTAAAGTATTAACTTACTCTTTTTGAATAGAATTATAATCAACATAAAACTCAGATGGGACAAATCTTTCTATCTTTTTTATTCCTTTTTCATTTTTATCAAATCTTTCATTAATTTCCAGCATAGCTTTTAGCAAGTTTATCTGAGCATTATAGCATGGCTTTCTACTGCCTATACCTAAAGCACTAACAACAAAACTCGCTCCTGCTAAAGCTTCGACAAGTTTGTCATGTTTGTTATAGTCTACCTGCTCGACGCCTGCACCTTCTTCTTCTAACTTTTTAGCTCTATTTTCTCTTTTCAATTTTTCCTCTTCAAGATATTCACTGTTAGCATGTCGAATTACCTTGATTGCATACTTCTTGTATCCATATTTAAGAAAAGCCTTAGCAATATTAAATCCTATATCGCCAGTAGCTCCGGCAATAACTACAAGCTTCCTTTTATAACTTTCAGTAAAAATGTTTTGCTTACAGAATTCTAATGCATCACTTTGCCCCTGGAATGCCGCCAATTTCATCAAACGAATAGCTTCCTTTCTGTTTAGGTCCCATAAAATTTTTCCTTTATAATACTTTGCTTCAGGATTAGTCTCTTTTTCAAGCGTATTCAAATCTTCTAAAAGTGTCACAAAGCTCTTTATTTTACCAAATTTGTCATTTTGTTCTTTATAACCTATCATAGACTACGTTTTACTTTTAAAGTGGGCATTGTTAAAGAGGTTTACTGAGGTTCTTTTAACATTGTTAACATTGCTCTTTTTTCTAAAATATGGAAACAATTCGTTAATACCATCTTCATGTTCAGACATTTTTGCCTAAGAATTTAAAAATACTCTTACAGTCTCTTCTGCTTTTATTAAAAAAAAATTTAAAATTAAAATAATTCAATGCAAATTGATTTTAAAATTGTTCTTTCGAATTGTTACAAAATATTACAGTACAAAGAAATTAGAAATTTATTTAAAAACTTATAACTTTTATTTTATTTTCAATATTAAAATCAATTCTCATTAGATTCGTCAAATTTGAAAAGTTGTTGATTAATTATATCAATACAACTTTTTTGAGTTAAGAAAATTTAATTAATTTAGAATAATTTCAATTTACAAGAATTAATTTTGAAATCCCTTCAAAAACAATGCAATATATAAATTGTCTTTGCATTTCAATCTATACTGTTTGTTTCAACGAAATTCTTACCTGTCGAAATCATATTGGTTTCAACGCTAAAAAAAGGTATTAATAATTTTAGCAAGAAAATGTCATTATTCTTCATAAAGAACAAATGTACGTATTCGTGAATTAAAGCCGCAACTCTCTTAATTTGTTTTTTAGTGTCACTTTGAATTTCCAAGTGCTTTATATAAATCAGAGGCAAATTGAACCTAAATTCTAATGCTAAATTATAATCTTATCGTTTAATTCTACTAAATTAACTAATCGCCAACGAAGTTTTTACTTTTCATTAATTATCAATTTTATTCTAGTTTCATGATTTAAACACCTTTTTCTTAAAAAAATATTGATATGACTCGCATCGTCGTAATCGTCATCAAAATCATTTCCTGATAGAATCTTTATACGTATGTACTTATTTGGAGATTAATTGTCATCAAGTTAAGGTTACTCTACTGGGGGTTGTTTTGATCAACTAACACTAATACTGTAACCGTTTCAAACAAATTTAATGGACATCCGCGGATTTTACTAAATTAATTTTGATAAGCATAACGATAACACTAACTAAATTTATTTTTTTTTTAGAAATATTGAAGCAAATCGAATGTGACACTAAACCTTATGTTAAATTGAAAAAATTTAACGAATAAATTTTTTTTAATATCTTAAAATGTTTTAGTTCGAACAGGAGAATATTTAAAAGTATGTAGAATGTTTTATAAATTTTAAAAATGAATTATATTAATATTAGTAAAAAAAAGTTTACAAAATTTACACTTGATATTAGTGATTTGAACCGAGAAAAAGTTCCTTAATCGGTTAATCGAACCGAATTATTTCATTCAACCGGTTGCCAACCGGTTAAGATTAATATTTCTACTACTGTACTACCTTCAAATTTTTGCCTCAACCTTTATGTTCATTCATTTTCTTTTCGGAACTTTTCGGAACCTTTATTACTATACTATATCAACCTGCCAACCGATTACCCAATTCTCAACCGTCAATAGATTAAGAATTTCCCTCGGTTCGGGTTGATTGACCGATTATAGCCCAACCGATTCAAGTCACTAACTATATCAACCTGCCAACTGATTACCCAATTTTCAACCGGTTGTATTGGGCCAACCGATTAAGAATTTCCTCAACTGGTTAGCCGAAATTTATTCGGTTCGGGTCGATTAACCGATTATAGCCCAACCGATTCAAGTCACTACTTGATATTATTGATGAATTAATAAAAGAAATACCATTCAAATATAATAATTTAGAAAAAGCTTTTGATAATCCTATCAGCTATAATGAGTGAGTGCTTCTTCTCATTTGAGTTATTTGTTGAGTCGTTGTGTATCTGAAGTTACGCTGCCACACCTGTGTTAAATATCTAGAATTGAAAGCACTTCGTGGCCAACTGTTTTGGCAGTTGAACGTTCTTCTAGTTTCAGGTGTTCTGGAAATGACTCATGCTCTGCCAGAATTCATGGTGAATAGGATACACAAACATTCTCATATGTTTTTTACGATTATGATACAATACTCATTATTTTATTATTTAAGTGATAGTAAAGAAGTCGATATTGACATTGAAATTGATGGTACTCGATTCGCAATTCTGTGTAAAAATTGGACTAGAGATATAGGTAGGATTAGAGAAATAGGATTAAAAGGCGTAGCTGATGTTGAAACTAATCACTTATAAATAAACAATGTGCAACCCGGATAATTAAAAATTGTACAATTACAAGAAATTTCAGTATATTAATAAATATAATTATTAGGGCCCATCGTCATTCAAACATTTGATGGGATTCTTACCCAGCTAAAAAGCGGAACCGTAGGCGTTGTGGTGACTCCAGATGAGGGAAACTTTTCTTTTAACTGCATAAAAAGAGCTAAAAACTCAATACATCATATTATTCTTACAAAAAAAAGTTATATTTGTAGAGACCTTAAAATCGTTAGTCAGAATGTTTCTATTGTTTCTTGTATTAAATATTTTGCTATTTTTTTTTTCTGTACTAATATGGTTACTTTATTCATTTGTATGCATTTAAAATATTCCAAAAATATTTATTACTTTTATTGAATTCCTAATTTTTATAGAAAAAAAAAAAACAGTTATAACATCAAGAGAATGGATCTTGGGATTCCGCAACCTTTTAATTTCATTTCCCACAATAATAAAAATAAAAATAATAAAAAAAATAAAAAAAATATTAACAAAACGGGTTCGAAATTTTTGATGCCAAAATCTGGCAGCAATACTGATTTCGATTTACTAATTGCTATTTTTAATAGTTCTCAAAAATTCCGAAATCTATTTGAATCTAGAATTAGGATTCTGCAAGTGCCGGCGTGGTGCCATTAAAGTTTTACCATATAGCCGCGTAATAACGCTCATGGGCGTTATTTCAAAAATCATAACCCCCTAAAATAGCATATGCAGTTTCGAATTAACGCCCATGGGCGTTTCGAATTAACGCGCATCTCAATAAAAGTAAAGAAACAAAATGTACTCCGAAACTAGGTTTAGTACTAAGTAAGCCTACTTTCGAATCCTAACAAAAGTTGTTTCTCGCATTGAGACAAGCAGGTTTACCAAAGCTAGTTCCTGTCCATTTTATTATGATTAAGGGGTACGATTCAAAAAATCAACCCTTATTTCAAAATAACGCACATGAGCATACTCGAAATAACGCGCAAGTCAATTAATTAACGCGTAGGTGGGCGTTATTTCGCGGCTATACGGTAATGGCACCATGCCCAGAACTTGCAGAACCCTATCTAGGATATCGACCAGTTAACACTGGAAAAAATTAATGAATTACCTCTTGATCAACTTATTACATAAAAACTTCAGTTTTTACAGTTTTTACAATAAAATAATTGGACCCATTGTATTCAGAGTTGGCATGGACCGTCAATGGTCAAGCTTGACCAGACCAGTTGGTCAAAGGGTTTAGTATTGGTCAAATTGGTCAATATAGCATACACTGACTTCTATTTGTTTTGCATCACATGAAAAAAAATTTTAAATTTATATAGCCTCCCAAAGACAAGTTGTATTGAACCAATTTTTTTTTTTTTAATTCGTCTAAACCAACAATATCTAACACCAGAATATCACCAAAATTGAATCACATGATTTCGATCTACATCATGATTTGTTCGATTTCTCCGATGCAAAACATTTGACCGTTATAATAAAAAATCTAATAGTAATTTTAACTTTGAACATGAATATTATCTGTAAGGACCAGATTAATTTAATTTAGATGATGTCAGAGAATTT